ACACAGAGAGCGCCCAAGGGTTCATCCTGTTTTGCAATTCGGAGAGATCCAATCGACGTTGGTGCGCGGCTTCATTGCATCCTCATACTTATAATGAGGATTCATGCAAGTAATATTTTTGGTAGCTTTGTGCTTTAATTCTTTTACTAGTAGCCCTCAGACTTCATGTAGAGGCTGTATTCTTTTCTGTTATTCTTCTCCGTTGCCCACAGAATGAGGATCCCATTGGACCAGATCAGCCGACTTTTTATTAAACATGAGGATTCACGTATTCCATCATAACTATGAGATGGTACATAATTCGGGGTGCAGAGAATGACTTAAGTACGTGAATACCACTAGGGTACAACAATATGAAGGAAAACAGTGCGACCCTCGGAACAGAATCCAACTACGATGCTTATGTCTGGTGATTTTCTGCACTCCGGTCAACGTAAAGTATCTTGCGAAATACGATAAAAGGGGCTGAATTCGGCCTGCACCCACCCACACCACGTCTATCGATTCTGACCACCAACATTGGCGCCAGAATATCATCCGTGGTCCTCACTACCTCTGTGCATGTACTGAGCTTTTCACGAACATACTGAGAGTCCAAAGTAAATACATGGACGCATCCTCTAACCTATCCAGTGGACGATCCTACCATACTCTGCACTATAGAGAAAGGTAAGTTTCATACGGTGACCCTCTCTTAAAGCAATGGAAAGAGAGAGAGAGAGAGATGTTAAAGAAAGAACACTCTTCCCCCAAAAAATGTAATAAATTCCCTCTTTTAAATCAGTACCGAGAAAATAGAGATTCTCCGAGTCCCTAAGCTGCTACTAACTCCACCATACAACGGGTGGCTGACCCGAGTTGGAAACCGTGTGAACATTTCCGTGATTGAACTCCAGAGAAAACACGGGTGGACACCAGTCTCTTTCCGTCGTCCATCATCCATAGGAATTAATGCATCAACACGGTAAACTATCCTACCCGGCACCCTATAAAATCAGACCCAGCTTCTTCCCAACCTTCTCGCACTACACGACTGAGATACACGGACATCAAGACAACAAGAGAGAGAGAGAGAGAGAGAGAGAATCTGAGAATCTGAGAGAACCATGAGGACCCAGTTGCCTTCCGTCCTTCTTCTTCTCGCACTTCTTTCGGCCGTAACCCTTCAGTCTCAGGCCCAGAAGCCTGCGCCGTATCCTCCACGGACGGGTGAATGGACTCGGATTAAGAAGGTGGACGAATACCACGTCCAGGGCATCGCTCGCTTCGCCGTGTCGGAGCACAACAAACAGACGGGGGAGGACCTGGAGTACGTCCGGATTTACAGGGGCTACGTCGACGGGCCGTTCTACAAGCTCCTCATCCAGGCCACGGACGACGTCAAGGCCCGCAGGTACGAGGCCGTAGTGAGGGATAGGCTCTGGAACAAGCCTAAGGAGCTCATCTACTTCAGGCGCTCGTCTTGAACTGTGATGCTGATGCGAATGGAGGAAATGTGAAAGAAAGTTGAATAACCCCCATATACAGTGTATTTGAATAAAAACCCGGGACAGGACATCGTCTCGATGGTTGATGTGTACGTTCATTGTGTACCCTTTTATGTTCAGCTTGTGTCGTCGAGAGTACAGTTATCTGAGTTCGGAACTATAAAACTAACTCCTTCAGCATCTGACAGTCCGAAAAGAAAATGCATCGCGAGGTTTGGAAGTCAACTCGACGCGGACTGAAGGGCCGATTTAAGACGAAGAAGTAATTTCTTCTATAAACGATCGGGGACACCCTGAATCGAACGCTAATGTCACCACACCCTGGGACCGAGTAGACCGTCGTCCCCATGTACGGCATTGAGATGATCCAAGAGGCGTACCTCCACAAATCCATCCTCTTGAACAGAGAATAAACTCGAGGATGGTTCAGTGTTTCCAAATACTAAATTCTAGTGACCATCGGCGTACAAATCCCATCAATAAATCGAAAGTCTAGTGATAATAAAGTAAAAGAACCAAACCCACATTAACAATATGTCGTTTAACAGATTATAGGAGAGTCATAAATCGACGTTCTATTGATTTCTATTTGCAATGAGATCTTATTACATTTTCAGTTTATAAAATTTGCTGACACCGGCAGAACTAGACCAGATGTCCCTGTAAAGATTGGATAAGATCACGGAAGAAAGTTGAAGAGCTGTATCTTTATTTCCATTGAAAGCTGATCCGAATCTTTATAATTATAAATCATACAAGGATAATGACGAGTAACCCGCTCTGAAAAAGAAATCTTGCTGCGATGAAATGCTTGTTAATGTCCGACTTCGACTCACTGATGCCAAAGTCAAACCTAAACGAGAGAGGTGAAGAATGAGGAAATTTTCGTGTACCTTGTTTGGTGGGACCAGTTAGGTGACACCGTCCGTACCGCGAATCGTCTCAAACTGTCGACTTTCTACGGAGGTGTGAATGTAAAGATTATAAAATAGAGGAGCCCCAACGGGCTGCTTGGGCGCACGGGAGGAGGTCGGTCATACCCCTGGGTGTGAAGACTGTGCGGTCTCTTCTCCTAGACGGGACCTCCACCTCACCTCCCCCCTCCCCGCCAACCCTACGACAAATTTCTACTTGGAAGTCCCCACTTGAGAAGACGCGTATAACATTTATTCAGATCCGCTTCTACCTACTCCCTTATCCACCGCTGGCATATCCACGGCGGGCTTATCCAAGTTGACCACAGTGTGAACCTGTCCGTTTGTCGACCGCGCAGAAACCACGGGCAGATTGCGGTCTCTTTCCATGTTCCATCCGTGGAGAAGGAAAACAACTAAGCGATGAGCTATCCTTCCCGATGGCCCGTTGTCCACTGTACTCCCGGAACCCTATATAACATGCCGGCCATCATCTTCCCGTCGTGCAGTGCACTACGCACATACAGAACGAGAGAGTACCAGAGAGAAAGCGAGAGAGGAGAACACAATGAGGACCCAACTGCCTTCCATTCTTCTTCTTCTCGCCGTTCTTTCGGCCGTTGCTTTTCAGTCCCACGCCACCAAGGGATACCCAACCCCGGGGTGGAATCGGATAAAGAAGGTGGAAGATTACCACGTCCAGAGCATCGCGCGATTCGCGGTCGCAGAGCACAACAGGCAGACGGGAGACAAGCTCGAGTACGTCCGGATTTACAGGGGCTACGTCGATGGCCAGTACTACCGGCTCTTCATCCAGGCCACGGACCACGTCAAGGCCCGCAAGTACGAGGCCGTCGTCTTCGAGAAGCTCTGGGACAAGGTCAGGGAGCTCGTCTACTTCAGGAGCTCATCTTGAACTATGACGCGGCGCAGTGTAAAGAAAACCTGATGTAGGTTTTGTTGGAATAAACCCTGAGGACGGGGCTTCGTCCTGATGTGTACGTAGATGGTCCACTTCACTTGTGTTCTACTTGCTTTATGGAGTTGAGAATTATTAGAGCTGGAAACAATACACGATGCTTATTTCAGTCGGTCCTTAGAGAACATCCACATTGCACAACTAAGTATTTATTTTCTCGGCAAACGTAAGAAGAATAATATGAAAATAGTCTCTTTTTTTTTGGCAAAATTTCTTAACTTTTTTAACGGATAGTGAGAATCGAAACTCAAAGTCATATTTTGAAATACATTCTGCAGTGTATTGGGTAGGCTATGAGATATACGGTACTTAATCTTAATTCATATCTCATGCCAATTAAATAATGAATTAAACTAACAAAAAAGTTAATGTTAAAATCAGGACCCTATTGCTGCGCTCGTCGGTCACCCACTGTCGGTCTTGACAAGCATAACGTAATTATGAGACGAGCAGACTTGGTGGGGGTCGGGGAGGGCAGCGATGAGGAGATACAACGGACGTATAGGGTGAGATGGGCGGAGAAAGTGAACGGTGAAAGAGGGCTTCTTACCTGATATAAAATAGGTGATGGTGTAACCCAGACTAATATCTCTGATTTTAATATGGAATCGGGTCCAATTAAATTCCTTATTGAGTTTTATAAGTTCATAGTATTTAAGTTCAACAATCGAGTGCTTACAACAGGATGTCGCTCATGTGTGTGGATCATGTAAAACATTTCGCTCATCGGTCTTGACTATACGGCAATGAGAATGAAAGAATACGACTCTTAAATAAACGCATTGACTGCATTGCACAAAGTCAAACTTCAGATGAGATCAGTTTTGCGTGTGGCGACTGGAGCCGTATGAATGGATTTTGACTATCATCACCGGCGCCAAGCTTGTTGACCTCCGTACAGGCTTTGCAGATTTTCGCCTTCCCTCTCCTTCCAGTTGCCTTGGGATACGAGAGTCGCTGTGGTCTCTTATTCCAGAACAGACATCACCCGGTAAATCTGAAGTCCCTCTTTTAGTCGTCACCCGTCGGTTTGAAAACCGGTTGGGATTAAGCAGGATAATCTTCCCTAGGTTTCGAGTTGCAACTTGTTCGACTATTTTGGTCGTATCGAGTTAATGCGACTCTATCCGGTTTATCTCCTGCGGTCTCACTTGACTCGCTCAATCATCCGCGTTTATCAAAGACATATATTTAGGCTATCTAATAATGTTCGGAAAAAACAGCCTATTTAAAGTACGCATGATAAACGGTATTCTGATCTGACACCTATATCTCCTTCGTCATATCGCCACTGGCAGCACCTCGCCCACAGTAGGACGGCCATCCCAGTCGTGAATCTTTCCTTTACCAGACCACCCACCAAAACGACGAGCAGATCGTGGTTTTTTTCGGTGGGCCGTCGGAAAACGACGAAGCGGTGAACTATCCTTCCTGCCGATCTGCCATCCTTCAGACTGTCGGCACCCTATAAAATACAAGCCATCGTATCCCCATGCTACTCGCACGGCACCTGAGAAAGATAATACAGTTGTACAGCGAGAGCGAGCGAGCGAGAGAGAGAGAGAGAGAGAGAGGAGATAAAGAGAAGGAGAGAAAGAGGAGAGAAAGAAAGAGGAAAGCATGCGGACCCAAATGCCGTCCGTTCTTCCTCTTCCCCTTCTTCTTGCTCTTCTTTCGGCTGTCACCCTTCAATCCGTAGCCGCAAACCGGGGACCATATCCACCGCCGACGGGCGTGTGGAATCGGATAAAGAAGGTGGACGACTACCCTGTCCCGGAAATCGCTCGACTCGCTGTGTCACAGCACAACAACCGAACAGGGAACAGCCTCGAGTACATTCGGGTGTATAGGGGGTACGTCGACGGGCCGTTCTACCGCCTCTTTATCCAGGCCACGGACCACGCGAAAGCTCGCAGGTATGAGGCAGTCGTGAGGGATGACCTCTGGCCGAAGATGAGGCAGCTCGTCTACTTCAGGGCCTCATCTTAAACTGCTATACCGCACTGCAAGGCAAATGTGCCAGGGATACAAGTAAACCTGATATGCTGTTTAAGTACTCCGGACGGGACATTTTGATTCTCACGTACACGGCGTACTTTGTTTTCTTATCTTGTTTCACAAGGATTACATCTCTCTCGTCTTAATATGTAGAATAATCGTTCTCGCATATCATACTGTATGAAGAGGTACTTCGCAAACCTTCCGTGGCTGAATTTAGCGCACGCTGTAGGCTCCTTCCAGGAGGAAGAGCAAATCGTCCGTAAACAATCGTGAAGCGAACACCAGCACCTATCATCTCATCGGGGTCTCTTCTCAAAGCCCAAGGTCGAAAGAGAGAGGGAGGGAGGGAGAGAGTGCTCAAGGTCTTTACCCAGAAATTCTACGAAATTCTTCCCCTTATATTCCGACTGATTAAAGATTGTTGTCCGAGGGATATTCACCATCTGTGATTATTCCGAATTTCTAATAGAGTTCTCCCTCCCAACTTCCATTGCCCCTCAATAGAATAGTAAGATATCAGAACGGTGAAAGCATACCCCTGACCGCGTTCCTGGACTATCCTAATTTGGACTCACAGATTCCGTGTTATGTATGTAGAGAGAGAGAAGGGGAAGAGGTAGCGAGAGAAGCTTCTGGATCCATTTTCCTTCATTTTTCTTCGCGCCTTGTAAGTTTCCGTAATCCCTCTTCACCAAGGTCACCCAGGGCGACTCCTGATCACAGCAGAAAATAGAGATAAAACCAAAAAAAGAATACGGTTTACCATATCTACGTGGTCAAGAATGATCACGCATTGCTTATTGGAAAATTCATGTGTGATTACAAGGTTGAGTTTCTATACTTATTATTAATCCGTTTTTTAGGGATGTTAGGGTCAATGTTGCCCTGCGACTGAATCCACCCACGAAAAGACGTTATAAATAGCCCACCTACTATTTATTTTAAAAAGGCCTGACTATATAAAAGCATATCCCACTGCCGTCAATTGGTTAAGCTGGAGAGCTCAATGATTACCAATGGAACCATAAGACGCATTCGTAGCACTCAAGGACAGACTACGTACAGTTTATCTGGTAGTGATAAGGTCAGCAGCTTTGACGAGCCACGAATTCCGGTGTAGTTTCTTCATCTTGAGCCGACATGAAACAACTTCTAGCCTCGTTAAGAAAAAAGTCAGCGTAATTTCGTCGAATAGAGGTACTGACCTATTTAACGGCAAGAAACTTGCCATTCGAATAATAACTCGCAAACAAGCATATTACCTCCATAGCACCCGTCGACGCCCACTGAACGAGGAAAAACTCGAGTTTATTCTTTCATGACTTGTGAGATTATGATGAATGTTTTCTCTGACGCTCTTTCGAAAGGTGCAAAAACAAAGCTTGAAGTTCTAAACAAACCATGAAGGCAGTGTCCGGAATGTAAAAAACCAAATGCCGTTTGTAATCTTTGCCTAGAATCTGGATATCTGGAAAATCTCGTAAGTGCTACGGATGATGTATAATACTGCGGAGGCTCGTGACATGAGTGCTGGTATTCACGCTCAATCGTTTTTTTGAGAACATGGGAAATTTAAGGGTAAAAGCCCAGAACTTCTTCACGGAGGCCAAGAACATCTGCTATCGATGATCAGCTCACCGTAAAACTTGGTGGGGCCTACCTAGTGGGACCCAAAAGCTTGCAGTTCATCCAGTCGCCGGTCTTCTTCCATAAGATGAACAAGGGGCAGCCAATTGTCAGAAGCATGAACTAAAAGCAGGTTGGCGGCGGCGGGGTCAGCAGTGCAAGTCATGAGTAAGATCCCGTCCCCTGTGTTAGGCGAAATGGCTGCATTTGGAGGCTTCCCACAGTTGACCTCGCCTCGAGATTTATTCACAGTTTTGAACCTGCTATAATAGTATCAGTAATGAAACTTCGGTTGATCAGAGTGTCATAACTTAAATATAACACAACAATTTGAGATATGCTTTGAAAAAATGCATGTCCGCGCAGGTAATTACTTGGAGCAAATTGTACTCTAACTCGATCTTAGCTTAAGGTTTCATCGCAACGTGTGCAATTTTGCTATCAAAATACGAGTGCCACTACCGTACAACAATGTAAAGGCAAGCAACGCGACAAATCAAAACAGAATCCGACCGCGAAGCTTATTTGCCGGGAACTTTTCTTTACTGTGGTAAATATGAAAGTACCTTTCGAAAAAAGATAACATAGGTTGAATTCTGCCTACGCCCACCATCACCATATCCGCCGATTCTGACCGTCAATATCGGCGCCAGAATATCATTCATGTCCTTGCTACCTCCGTGGTTCTTGTGGACTTTTCACTTCACGGCCGTACCACACACTGCGGGATAGAGAAAGGTGATCTTCCTTCGGTGGCCTCCTCTCAAATCGAGAGTTGGAAACCGTGTGAACAGTTCAGCGATTAAACTCCAGAGAAAACACGGGCGGACACCAGTCTCTTTCCGTCGTCCATCATCCATAGGAATTAATGCATCAACACGGTAAACCATCCTACTCGGCACCCTATAAATCAGACCCAGCTTCTTCCCAACCTTCTGCACTGCACTACTGAGATACACGGACACCAAGACAAAAAGAGAGAGAGAGAGAGAGAGAGAGAATCTGAGAATCTGAGAGAACCATGAGGACCCAGTTGCCTTCCGTCCTTCTTCTTCTCGCACTTCTTTCGGCCGTAACCCTTCAGTCTCAGGCCCAGAAGCCTGCGCCGTATCCTCCACGGACGGGTGAATGGACTCGGATTAAGAAGGTGGACGAATACCACGTCCAGGGCATCGCTCGCTTCGCCGTGTCGGAGCACAACAAACAGACGGGGGAGGACCTGGAGTACGTCCGGATTTACAGGGGCTACGTCGACGGGCCGTTCTACAAGCTCCTCATCCAGGCCACGGACGACGTCAAGGCCCGCAGGTACGAGGCCGTAGTGAGGGATAGGCTCTGGAACAAGCCTAAGGAGCTCATCTACTTCAGGCGCTCGTCTTGAACTGTGATGCTGATGCGAATGGAGGAAATGTGAAAGAAAGTTGAATAACCCCCATATACAGTGTATTTGAATAAAAACCCGGGACAGGACATCGTCTCGATGGTTGATGTGTACGTTCATTGTGTACCCTTTTATGTTCAGCTTGTGTCGTCGAGAGTACAGTTATCTGAGTTCGGAACTATAAAACTAACTCCTTCAGCATCTGACAGTCCGAACAGAAAATGCATCACGAGGTTTGGAAGTTAACTCGACGCGGACTGAAGGGCCGATTTAAGACGAAGAAGTAATTTCTTCTATAAACGATCGGGGACACCCTGAATCGAACGCTAATGTCACCACATCGTGGGACCGAGTTGACCCCCGGCCCCATCTACGACGTTGGGATGATTCAAGAGGCGTACCTCCACAAATCCATCCTCTTGAACAGAGAATAAACTCGAAGATGGTTCAGTGTTCGCAAATACTAAACTCTAGTGACCATCGTCACAAAAATCCCATAAAAAAATCGAAAGTTTAGTGATAATAAAGTAAAAGAACCCAACCCACATTATCAATCTATCGTTTAACAGATTTTGGGAGTGTTAAGTCAATGTTCTATTGATTTCTACTTTGAATCAGATCTTCTACGATTGCAATTTATTAAATTTGCTGAAACCGGGAGAACCAAACCTGATGTCCTCCTCAGGATTGGATAAGATCACGGAACAAAGCTGCAGAGCTGTTTATATATTTCCATTAAAAACTGATCCGAATCTTTATAACTATAAAGCGTACAAAGATAATGACGGGTAATCCGCTCTGAAAAGGAAATCTTGCTGCGATGAAATGTTTGTCAAAGACAAACTTTGTCTAGCTGATCCCAAAGTCAAACCTCAACGAGAAAGGTGAACAATGAGATAAATTTCGTGTACCTTGTTTCGTGGGACCCGTTAGGTGACGCCCTGTGTGCCGCGAATCGCATTAAACTGTCGACTTTCTACAGAAGTGTGAACGAAAAAACTATAACAAAGATGGGCTTGGGTGCACCGGAGGTGGTCGGTCATACCTCGGGTGTGGAGACTGTGCGGTCTCTTCTCCTAGATGGGACGTCCATCCCCAACCCTACGACAAATTTCCACCTGTAAGTATCCACGTCTGAGACGACGCGTGCCATCTGTCTTCAGATTCGCTTTTACCTACTCCCTTATCCACGGCGGGCATATCCAAGGTGACCACCGTGTGAACCTTTCCATTAGTCGACCGCGCAGAAACCACGGGCGGATTTCGGTCTCTTTCAATGTTCCGTCTGTGGAGAAGGAAAACAACCGAACGATGAGCTGTTCTCTCCTGATGGCCCGTCGTCCACTGTATTTTCAGAACCCTATATAACATGCCGGACATCATCTTCCCTTTGGGCAGTGCACTACGCACATACAAAACGAGAGAGTACGAGAGAGAGAGAGAGAGGAGAACACAATGAGGACCCAACTGCCTTCCATTCTTCTTCTTCTCGCCGTTCTTTCGGCCGTTGCTTTTCAGTCCCACGCCACCAAGGGATACCCAACCCCGGGGTGGAATCGGATAAAGAAGGTGGAAGATTACCACGTCCAGAGCATCGCGCGATTCGCGGTCGCAGAGCACAACAGGCAGACGGGAGACAAGCTCGAGTACGTCCGGATTTACAGGGGCTACGTCGACGGCCAGTACTACCGGCTCTTCATCCAGGCCACGGACCAAGTGAAGGCCCGCAAGTACGAGGCCGTCGTCTTCGAGAAGCTCTGGGACAAGGTCAGGGAGCTCGTCTACTTCAGGAGTTCATCTTGAACTATGACGCGGCGCAGTGTAAAGAAAACCTGATGTAGGTTTTGTTGGAATAAACCCTGAGCACAGGGCTTCGTCCTGATGTGCACGCAGATGGTCCACTTCACTTGTGTTCTACTTATTTCCCTGAGCATAGGCTCTGGAACAAGCCTATGGAGCTCATCTACTTCAGGCGCTCGTCTTGAACTGTGATGCTGATGCGAATGAAGGAAATGTGAAAGAAAGTCGAATAACCCCCATATACAGTGTATTTGAATAAAAACCCGGGACAGGACATCGTCTTGATGGTTGATGTGTACGTTCATTGTGTACCCTTTTATGTTCAGCTTGTGTCGTCGAGAGTACAGTTATCTGAGTTCGGAACTATAAAACTAACTCCTTCAGCATCTGACAGTCCGAAAAGAAAATGCATCGCGAGGTTTGGAAGTTAACTCGACGCGGACTGAAGGGCCGATTTAAGACGAAGAAGTAATTTCTTCTATAAACGATAGGGGACACCCAGAAACGAACGGTAATGTCACCACCCCCTGGGACCGAGTAGACCCTCGTCCCCATGTACGGCATTGAGATGATCCAAGAGGCGTACCTCCACAAATCCAACCTCTTGAACAGAGAATAAACTCTAAGATGGTTCAGTGTTCCCAAATACTAAAATCTACTAACCATCGTCATAAGAATCCCATAAAAAAATCGAAAGTTTAGTGATAATAAAGGAAAAGAACCCAACCCATATTGTCAGTCTACCGTTTAACAGATTATAGGAGAGTGGCAAACGAATGCTCCATTTATTTCTACTTTGATTAAGATCTTTAAATTGGCTCAGGTTTTTGGCAAAGGAGCAGCAGCACAGCCTATTTATCCCGTGGGGCTCCTCTTACTCACATTATTTACCAGACCCATCTGTCAAAAGTCAATAGTTTGAGGCGATTCGCGGCACACACGCCTTCACCTAACCGGTCCCTCGAAACAGGGTACACGAAAATTTTCTCATTTTTCAGCTTTCTCGTTGAGGTTTGACTTTGGGAACAGTAAGTTGAAGTTCTACTTTGACGAACATTTCATGGCAGGAAGCCTGCAGGGAGGCCAAGCACATCTACCATCAATGATTAGCTCACCGTAAAACTTGGTGAGGCCTACCTCGTGGGACCAGAAAGCCTGCAGTTCATCTAGTCACTGGTCGTCTTCCATAAGCTGAACATAGGGTAGCCAATCGTGAGAAGGATGAACTAAAAACAGGTTGGCGGCGCTGGGATCAGTAGAGCAGTGGCTAGTAAGATCCCGTCCCCTGTGTTAGGCAAAACGGGTGCATTTGGAGGCTTCCCACATTCGATCTCGTCTCGAGACTTATTCACAGTTTTGAATCTCGTATAATAGTATCAGTAATGAAACTTCGGTTGATCAAAGTGTCATAATTTAAACATGACACAACAATTTGAGATATTCTTTGAAAAAATGCATGTCTGCGCCGGTATTTACCTGGAGAAATTTGTACGCTAATTCAAGCTTAGTTTAAAGTTTCAATTAGATCATATTTCATCCCAATATGTGCAATTTGCTAACAAAATACGAGTGTCACTCCCGTACAACAATGTAAAGGCAAGCAACGCGAATACGAGTGTCACTCCCGTACAACAATGTAAAGGCAAGCAACGCGAATAGGGGTTGTTCACACGGAAAGAGATTTTTTACAGTCAAGTCCAGGTACAAGCTGATTGTAATGCATGATTCGTGAATTACCTGAACTTTACTCAAAATCAGAGAGAGAATTATTTTTTCTTGGAGAGAATCTGACAATATCTATCAAGTTTGACTACACTTAATGGCACCACGAATACCATGAATTTAGATACTTCTCTGCGGGACGTTCGTTGGATAGGCCGAGAGAGAGTTGAGAAGAATAGAGTGAAAAAGAGTAGCAAATCATCACACGAGTCCACTAAATCGTGGCCATCGATCCTGGCGCCATAGTGCGAGTGCTGAGTAAGAGGCTGTCGACTATGACAGAAGAGGAACAGAGTCAAGACGCAAAGAGTAGAAAGTTCAAGATATGCTTTCATAGGAAGCCAACCTGCATTAGTATTGAGAATAAAACTTCCAATACGTTTACTAACGAAAAATAATTGCATAAATCCCAGTTATGTTTAGTCACAACAAGTGATTTAACCATTGGCATAATCCTTGGATCACTTGGACTCACTTCGTTCAAAATCAGCTTGGGGATTGATTTTTCTAGATGCGAATCGCCCCATATCTTTCAATTTTGGCTACCATTATTGGCACCACCAATACTCCTGAATTTGGATAATTCTGTGCGGGGCGTTGGTTGGATAGGGTGACATAGAGAGAGTACAGAATAATAGGGACGAGGAGGGTAGCAAATCGTCACACTGGTCGACTAAATCCTAGTCATAGACCTTGGGGCAATAAATGCGATTGATGAGTAAGAGGCTGTCGACTATGACACGTGTTTGAACAGAGTCAAGAGGCAAAGAGTAGAAAATTCAAGATACGCTTTCAATGAGAGCAATCCTGCACAAGTATTTAGAATAAAAATTCCAACGCATTTGCTACCGAAATGATATTGCAATAATTCCTAGTTATGTTTAGTCATAATTGGAAATGGCACCATAAAACAAAATCTGATTGTGATGCATGACTTGTGAATTACTTGGATTGCTCTCATTTTCTTGGTACGAATCGCAAACGTACCTATCAATTTTGACTAATTTTATTGTCACCACCAATACTCATGAATTTGAATACCTCTGTGAAGGACGCTGGTTGGATAGACAGAGAGAGAGAGAGTAGAAGAGAATAGAGTCAAAAAGGGCGAACAATCGTCACACGGGTCAACTAAATCTTGCCATCGATCCTGGGGCCATAAATGCGAGTGATGAGTAAGAGGATGTCGATTTTGGCAGGTGCTGGCACAGATTCGAGAGGCTAAGAGTAGAAAGTTCAAGATATGCTTTCAATGGGAGCAAGCCTGCACTGGTTCTTAGAATAAAAATTCCAACGCATCTACTGACGAAAAAATATTGCATCAATTCCTAGTTCTGTTTAATCATATTTTGAGATGGCACTATAAAACAAAATCCAATTGTGATGCATGAATTTTTAATTACTTGGACTAACTTGGCTCATAATCAGCGTGGGAATTGATTTTTCTTGTGTGAATCGCACCATGTCTATCAGTTTTGACTACCCTCATTGGCACCACCAATACTCATGAATCTGGATAGCTCTGTGTGGGACGTTGGTTGGCTATGCCGAGAGAGAGAGAGAGTAGAGAAGAATCGAGTCCTCAGTGTTGTGCGTGGGCTGTCCACCCCACGGGAGGCGAAGAACCCGAGTTGACAACATAAAATATGGGGGAGGGAGAGAGAGAGAAAATCATGAGGACCCAGTTGCCTTCCCTTATTCGGCCGTAACCCTTCAGTCTCAAGCCCAGAAGGATGCGCCGTATTCCCCGCGGACGGGTGAATGGAGTTGGATTAAGTTGAACGAGTGCCATGTCCAGGGCATGGCTCGCTTCGCTGCGTCAGAGCACAAGGAGGACCTCGAGTATGTCCGGATTTACAGAGGCTACGTCGACGGGCTGTTCTACAGGCTCTTCATTCAAGCCACGGCCACATCAAGGCCCATTAAGTCTTTAAGGCCTTATGAGGGACAAGCTCTGGAACATAGGTAGGGAGCTCCTCTACTTTAGGAGATCATCTAGCACTGTGAAGGATGACAAATAGATCTGGCATATGGTATATTTCAATAAACACTCGGCGCGGGGCAGTTTCTTATTGTTTACGTAGGTCATATACTCGGCATATGTTCATCTAAAGTTGACTTGGTCAACCGATTGGGAGAGGTCCTTCTGGATTTCTCTTCTCTTCCTTAAATTTAGTTTAAGGGGCCGCACTTTTCTACTATCAGAATCGGAATGTAGCCTTTCAAGGCGAGGCCCGCCCACCAATGGGGAGAGTGGGAACTTCGTTACCTTCGCTTTCAAGGCGAGGCCCGCCCCACCAATGGTTACGAGTTCATAAGTAATCCCGATAAATTTTTAAAAGGGATATTAAGAGGGGGCACAGGGAGAGAGAAAGAGAGCGAGAGAAATATGGGGAAAACCCCGTCTCCGGTGGCTGACATTGAGGATCCGGCTCTCCCCCATTTATGGTTTTTGGTCGTGAATTACTCTCCTCCATTTATTGTCTCTTTTTCCTTATTAATAGTGAACAATCTCCTTATTTGGTTGGCTGTGAAAAGCTTTATTAATTCGTGGTGTCATTCTTCTCTTTTTCTCATAATCCTTGACGTAAACTAACATTTAAAGGAGATGACATCGGAAACTAAGATTATCATGGAGGACAGAGGGGAAGAACGGCGTAAAACCGTGTCAAGATTCACTGATATCAATTATCAGAACTCTAACACTCCTTAATATCTTTTATTGCTCTGTGGATATTGTTATCAAGCGCTCCTTCCGCTGTAATACCAGGCCATTATATTCAGGCCCTTTTTCCCAGCAGTTCACCTATTGGGTTGGTGTAGTGAAGATTACAATTTCTACTGTTCTCATAATGCATGAACCACTATTGCTTCCATGGTGATTTCAATTTGCTGACGGATTTAATACTTCGTTGCGAACGGAAACGCCGATCATTCTTCAAAGACTCCATATTTCCCTTTTCAAGATCCCCATCTTCTCCTCCGGCATCGCTACCATCAGAACCATGACGAACATCAACCATCGTCCTCTCCTCTTTTTCTTGTTCCTCTTCGGCAGCGTTGGAAGTCAATCGACCATCCCCGGCAGGTTTTACCCGATAGAGGTCGTCAATGACCCCCACATCCAGGAGATCGGTGAGTTCGCCGTGTCGGAGAACAACAAGCAATCGGGAGTACAGCTGGTATTCATCCGCGTCATTAGCGGGGAGAAACAGGTCGTCGCGGGGATCAACTTCAGGCTCGTCGTCGAAGCCAAGGAGGGCGAGGCAGTGCACCAGTACGAGACTTTAGTGTACGAGCAAGTCTGGACCGGCTACAGGCAGCTCACTTCCTTCACGTTCAAGGCTTGAAGCCTAAAACCTTGGAATAAGGGAGCCAATAGAAATAAAGATGCCCCGGGTGATCCAGGAGAGGGAAGGTATAGTGAATTTTGTTCTGTTGATGTCTCCGTCTAGGGTACCCCAAGAATACTGCTGAAGCAGTTGCGCTTCTCCTTTCTTCTTCTGCAGAACCTAGTTTTCTGTCTGATCGGGGCGCCGGCTGGGAAGGGGAGGATTCCAAGCGATCTCCTTACATTATCGACCTACATCTATGGATAGAACAATCGGACTGCGACAGGAGTTCCTCGAAATTTAACAATTGGGATGGAGTGGGAATTTTTGAATGTCCATTGGATTAGATTTAGACGTTCTCAATTGACCCGAGATGGAACCGTTCTCTTGGTTAACCCCATCCATTTAACCTTACTGCGGACGCGCTCGGATTATCCGGATAGAACAATGAGGGGTTCTGGAATCATAAAAAAGAATTCCCCTCCTTGTTCACCTCCCGGAAATGTGGTTCTCCTAATTGCAACTATCGCATCGGTTCATTCGGGCGGTGTGATTCCCAATACGTGTCTGAGTCCTCCTCCAGTTGAGTTACCTGGCAAATGGGAATCCCCCAGGTTCCCCTCAACACGAATATTCCACCTTATATGCCCCTCTTCCCATTCATCTTCTATATCAAAGAACCCTATTTCTGTCCTCAAACTATAAGTCTGTCCGACGGCGATCAAGATTCTTGAAACGTCATGAACGCCGTTTCGTAGTTTAGGTGCGGAGACGAGGGTAGTGTGATCTCTTCTTTTGGGCCTCTCGCTTGTCCCTCCGACTCTCGAATTCTCTATCCCCCTGAGGAGAACACTCGAGGCGATATAAGTTTGGGGACACTGTGGTCCCTCTTTCCCGCATCGTACTCGTTGACGCTGAGTGGAGCTCCGCCTCGTCTTGGAGAAAAGGGCAGACGGAAACGTTTGAGAAGATTTAGAACTGGAATCCCGGATAACGTTTGGCTCTCTCTCTCTCTCTCTCTCTCTCTCTCTCGTCCTTCTGATATAATTTTGCAGAAGGCGAACCCTTCAGATTCGTTTAAGTTTCCGGGGAGATTATAGGTTCGTTGACTTCGGAGTACCTTGTTGTTGTGGTCGAGGCAGCTAGGAGCTCCGGTGAGATAAGCGGTGATGTTTTCTTCCCTTTTTCATTTGTTTCCTTACCTTCTTGGACCTTGTTATTTAACATTTTCCGTCGAAGCCGCCATGATTGCTGGTCGCCAGATAGAAGAGAAAAGGTGAAAGATGAAATTAAATTTATTGTTGAATGAGAAAACGCATGCATGCATTTATACTGGACCTGACTCTGTGGATCGGAACTGGTTAATCAGGCTTCACTTTTGTTGAATTGGATCCGATACACCACAAAAAAAAGATAAAAATACAAGAGAAAGTAGTATATATACGATTAGCAATAAGACCTTGGTATGATTGTAATATCTCGCTTTCCGACATTCTCCCTCAAGTTGGTGAGTGGATGTCTTTCAATCCTAGCCTATATGTAAACCTATAGAAGGTTAATCCGCTTAATCTTCTGGTGAGTATATTTGAGAGCTACTCATAAGTGGACACATGACGTCTAAATGATGTCACTATCAAGTTTCTTGTTCAATGTTCGATTAATCTCAATACTCTTGATCGAATCATATTATACTAAGTTGTCTATTATGGCTCATCCACAAGACATCAGATATGTTATGTCGTATGGTTCAAAATTCTCATTTTGCCTTAGATTTGAGTACCACTTTTTGCATCTTATTCCTCTATGTGATGAAGTTGCCTCTAATAAGTGTCTAGTAGCTTGAGGTTGATCATTGGTTAATAATAAGTTTTTATAATCATCATCAGTATACATTTTAACATGTATATTGATATTTCTTTTCTTAAATGAAATCTTTTTTATTGAGAGTTCTCTTTAAGTATTGTATAATTCTATCCATTGCTAAAAATGAAACTTTCCTTGAGTCATGCATTAATTGATCAAGAACTCTTCTTGAGTATAAAATGACTGGTCTAGTGTGAAGAAAGGTGAATCACCTTTCCCATAAGATGCTGATACATCAATTTATTTTATGGGCTAGTTTCTTCTGTATTTTTGTGTTTGTGATTTAGATCTATGGAGGTACTTATGGGTTTACTATCTAGTTTTTGAATCTCTTTAAAAGTGTCAAGGACATACTTTTCTTTTGGAAAATAAATATTCCTTATCTCAAGTGAGTCAATTCAATCCCGAAGGTCTTAATGTCATAAGTTCCTGTCACTAGTAAAAATAACGCCAAAGGTAGATATTGTCTTTAACACTTTGCAAATGTGGATGTGAAATTCAATGCACATTGTAGGCTTCTTCTAGGAGGAGGAAAAAATCGCTAGTAAAGAATCGTGAAGCAAACACCAACCTCTATTATCTCATCAGGGAGTCTCTTCGAAAAGCCCAAGTTTAGGGAGGGAGGGAGGGAATGCTCAAGGTCTTTACCCAGATATTCTATGAAATTCCCCCCTTGTATTCCGAGTTATTGATTCAAGATTGTTGTTCGAGTTATTCACTATCTGTGTTTGTTCCGAAATTCTACTAGTCCTCCCTCCCAACTCCTTTCATTGATCCCCCAATGGAGTAGCTCCTGGACTGTCCTAATTTGGACCCACAAATTCCCTGTTATGTGGTCCACTGAGGTTTTGTGTTAGACTTGCTTTATGGAGATCAGAATTATTAGAGCTTGAGATAATACACGATGCTTATTTCAGTCTGTCGTTCGAGAACGTATGAATTGCTTTCGGCTAGCGTCTTAGTAACAAGGAGAAATGAGATCAAATTATCCATTTTTATCCGTAGAATTTCATCTACCAGTTTATACAAATGTTAAGAAGTGAAAATAACGCCACATTTTAAAGTATACAAAACGAGAGAGTACGAGAGAGAGAGAGAGAGAGAGAGAGAGCAGAACACAATGAGGACCCAACTGCCTTCCATTCTTCTTCTCGCCGTTCTTTCGGCCGTTGCTTTTCAGTCCCACGCCACCAAGGGATACCCAACCCCGGGGTGGAATCGGATAAAGAAGATGGAAGATTACCACGTCCAGAGCATCGCGCGATTCGCGGTCGCAGAGCACAACAGGCAGACGGGAGACAAGCTCGAGTACGTCCGGATTTACAGGGGCTACGTCGATGGCCAGTACTACCGGCTCTTCATCCAGGCCACGGACCACGTCAAGACCCGCAAGTACGAGGCCGTCGTCTTCGAGAAGCTCTGGGACAAGGTCAGGGAGCTCGTCTACTTCAGGAGCTCATCTTGAACTATGACGCGGCGCAGTGTAAAGAAAACCTGATGTAGGTTTTGTTGGAATAAACCCTGAGCACAGGGCTTCGTCCTGATGTGTACGCAGACGGTCCACTTCACTTGTGTTCTACTTATTTCCGTCTGTCCTTAGAGAAAATACTGGGACCAGAAAGCCTGCAGTTCATCTAGTCACTGGTCTTCTTCCATAAGCTGAACATAGAGTAGCCAATCGTGAGAAGGATGAACTAAAAACAGGATGGCGGCGCTGGGATCAGTAGAGCAGTGGCTAGTAAGATCCCGTCCCCTGTGTTAGGCAAAACGGGTGCATTTGGAGGCTTCCCACATTCGATCTCGTCTCGAGTCATTCACAGTTTTGAATCTCGTATAATAGTATCAGTAATGAAACTTCGGTTGATCAAAGTGTCATAATTTAAACATTGCACAACAATTTGAGATATGCTTTGAAAAAATGCATGTCTGCGCCGGTATTTACCTGGAGAAATTTGTACGCTAATTCAAGCTTAGTTTAAAGTTTCAATTAGATCATATTTCATCCCAATATATGCAATTTACTAACAAAATACGAGTGTCGCTCCCGTACAACAATATAAAGGCAAGCAACGTTGGACATGGATGACAAAGAAGAATATCATGATTGTGGGACATGAATGTACACAAAAATGACTCACATACAAGTGTAGTACTCTCCGGTTAAACTTAACTATCATGAATTTATAAAACTCAATAGGGAATTTATGGGACTCTATTTAATATTTAATTCCCAGGTATTATGTGAGGATTATTACTTTAAATGCCGAACAAGCTCGCTGTGCCATTTAGTGATTCACATATAGAGATCTAGGTCCTGGTGAGACCATCACCTATTTTATACTAGGGAAGCCGTCTTTCGTCGTTTCCTCTCCGTACGTTCCATCTCCTCCTCGTCACTACCCTCCCTGGTCCCACCAAGTCTATCCTTCTGATGTCCACATATTGCTCATCAAGACCTCTAGTAGTGGCCACCCAGTGTAGCAATGGGCTATAATTTTCAACAATTTATTTAGTTATTTATTTATGTATTTCACAATTTAATTGGCGTGAGCTATCAAAACTACTTGGACCAAGTACCGTATATTCCATTGCATTCCCCACACGACGCATCATATACTTTAAAATGTGGCTTTATTTTCACTTCTTATGATTCGTATAAATTAGTAAATTAAATTCTATGGATAAAAATAGATATTTTGATCTTATTCCTCCTTCTTAGTAAGACGCTAGCCGAGAAAGCAATTAAAACGTTCTTGAAGGACAGACTGAAATATGCATCGTGTATTATGTCCAGCTCTAATAATTCTGATCTCCATAAAGCAAGCAGAGCACAAGTGAAGTGGACCATCTGCGTGCACATCAGGACAAAGCCCTGTGCTCAGGGTTTATTCCAACAAAACCTACATCAGGTTTTCTTTACACTGCGCCGCGTCATAGTTCAAGATGAGCTCCTGAAGTAGACGAGCTCCCTGACCTTGTCCCAGAGCTTCTCGAAGACGACGGCCTCGTACTTGCGGGCCTTGACGTGGTCCGTGGCCTGGATGAAGAGCCGGTAGTACTGGCCATCGACGTAGCCCCTGTAAATCCGGACGTACTCGAGCTTGTCTCCCGTCTGCCTGTTGTGCTCTGCGACCGCGAATCGCGCGATGCTCTGGACGTGGTAATCTTCCACCTTCTTTATCCGATTCCACCCCGGGGTTGGGTATCCCTTGGTGGCGTGGGACTGAAAAGCAACGGCCGAAAGAACGGCGAGAAGAAGAAGAATGGAAGGCAGTTGGGTCCTCATTGTGTTCTCCTCTCTCTCTCTCTCTCGTACTCTCTCGTTTTGTATGTGCGTAGTGCACTGCCCAAAGGGAAGATGATGTCCGGCATGTTATATAGGGTTCTGAAAATACAGTGGACGACGGGCCATCAGGAGAGAACAGCTCATCGTTCGGTTGTTTTCCTTCTCCACAGACGGAACATTGAAAGAGACCGAAATCCGCCCGTGGTTTCTGCGCGGTCGACTAATGGACAGGTTCACACGGTGGTCACCTTGGATATGCCCGCCGTGGATAAGGGAGTAGGTAAAAGCGAATCTGAAGACAGATGGCACGCGTCGTCTCAGACGTGGATGCTTACAGGTGGAAATTTGTCGTAGGGTTGGGGATGGACGTCCCATCTAGGAGAAGAGACCGCACAGTCTCCACACCCGAGGTATGACCGACCACCTCCGGTGCACCCAAGCCCCTCTTTGTTATAGTTTTTTCGTCCACACTTCTGTAGAAAGTCGACAGTTTAACGCGATTCGCGGCACACAGGGCGTCGCCTAACGGGTCCCACGAAACAAGGTACACGAAATTTATCTCATTGTTCACCTTTCTCGTTGAGGTTTGACTTTGGGATCAGCGAGTCAAAGTCTGTCTTTGACAAACATTTCATCGCAGCAAGATTTCCTTTTCAGAGCGGATTACCCGTCATTATCTTTGTACGCTTTATAGTTATAAAGATTCGGATCAGCTTTTAATGGAAATAAATAAGCAGCTCTTGAGACGGACATCGGGTTTAGCTCTCCCGGTTTCAGCAAATATTATAAATTCCTGTCGTAATAAGTTGTCATTGCAAGTAGAAATCAATAGAGCGTCGACTTATCACTCTGCTATAATCTGTTAAACAATAGGTTGATAATGTGGGTTAGGTTCTTTTCCTATATTGTCACGAAACTTTCGAATTTTGGATTGGATTTGTTTGACGATGTTCACTAGAGTTTAGTATTGGGGAACACTGAAACCTCGTGATGCATTTTTTTCAGTCCGCTTCGAGTTAACTTCGAAACGTCGTGATGCATTTTTTTCCCGGACTGTCATACTCTGAAGGAGTTAGTGTTATAGTTGCCAACTCAGATAACTGTGCAGTCGACGACACAAGCTGAACATAGAAAGGGTACACAATGAACGGAGACATCAAACGTCAAGACGATGTCCTGTCCCGGGATTTTATTCAAATACACGGTATATAAGGGTCATTCGAATTTCTTTCACATTTCCTTCATTCGCATCAGCATCACAGTTCAAGACGAGCGCCTGAAGTAGATGAGCTCCTTGGGATTGCTCCAGACGCTATCCCTCACGACCGCCTCGTACCTGCGGGCCTGGACGTTGTCCGTGGCCTGGATGAAGAGCTTGTAAAACAGCCCGTTGATGTAGCCCCTGTAAATCCGGACGTACTGGAGGTCCTCCCCCGTCTGCTTGTTGTGCTCCGACACGGCGAACCGAGCGACGTCCTGGATGTCGTATTCGCCCACCTTCTTAATCCGAATCCATTCACCCGACCGCGGAGGATACGGCTCAACCTTCTGGGCTTGAGACTGGAGGATCACGGCCGAAAGAAGTGCGAGAAGGAGGAGGCAAGGCAACTGAGTCCTCATGGTCCTATCTGATTCTCTCTCTCTTTTTCTCTCTGTCTTGGTGTCCTTGTATCTCAGTAGTGCAGTGCAAGAAGGTTGGGAAGAAGCTGGGTCGGATTTTATAGGGTGCCGGGCGGGATAGTCTACCGTGTTGATGGATTCATTCCTATGGGTGACGGACGACGGAAAGAGACGGCTGTCCGCCCGTGTTTTCTCCGGAGTTTGCTCCCGGAAATGTTCACACGGTTTCCAACTCGGGCCAGCTTAGTGACTTGGAAGCAGCGTAGTGACTCGGGCAACCCCTATTTTATCGGTTCCGATTTAAAAGACGGAATTTATTACATTTTCTGGCGGAAGAGTGTTCTTCTTTAACTTCTCTCTCTCTCTCTCTCTCTCGCTCTTTCTATGGCTTTGAGAGTAGGCCACCTATGGAAGTCACCTTTCTCTACAGTGCAGATTATGGTAGGTTCGTCCACCGGATAGGTGAGAGGATGCGTCCCATGTATACAGTTTTGACTTTCAGTATGCGCGTGAAAAGCTCACTACATGCAGACAAGCAGCGACAACCACGGATGACATTCTGGCGCTAATGTTGCTGGTCAAAATCGATGGGCATAGAGTGGGTGGGTGTAGGCTGACTTCAGCCCCTTTTAATAATATTTCGCAAGATACTTTCAACGTTGACCGGAGTGAGGAAAATCATCAGACCGAAGTATCGCAGTCGGATTATGTTCTGTGGGTTGCATCGTTTTCTTTCATATTGTCGTACGGCAGTGGTATTCACTTCATTAGCTCACCAGACTTACTATCTCATAGTTGCGATGTTACACCAAAGTCATTCGCGTTGTTTAAGAAAAAGTCAGCTGGTCTGGTGCAAGGGGACCCTGATTCTGTCGGCAAAGGAGCAGCGCCGCAATTTATTCGTTCTCTCAGATGCTCGGGTTCTGGGCCTCTCTACAGCACCCATATTTTCTGGTGATTGTGGGAAAATATTCAAACGTTGGACATGAATGACAGAGAAGAATAAAGCCTTTACATGAAGTCTGAAGGATGATGGTAAAAGAATTGAAGTACAAAGCTACCAAAAATAGTACTTGCATGAATCCTCATTAGAAGTATGAGTATGCGATGAAGCTGGGCACCAACCTCGATTGGATCTCTCCGAATTGCAAAACAGGATGAACCCTTGGGCGCGCTCTCTGTGTGCTCCAGCAAGAACCCAACTCAGGAATTGAACAGTAGGGTGGAAACCAAGGCTCCAAAACCAGATCCGCAAGCGCGCATTCAGGTAGATGTCTTCCGGGCCTTCAGGGGGAAGATCACTGCTGGATCTTGAGAACGGGAAATGCGATGACATCCCGTATGCTGGCTGAGTTTGTGAGAAGCATCACCAGCCTATCGATCCCGAGTCCCTGGAAAGATCATTGATCAGGACACGCCAGATCATTTAAAGTTGAGCGGAGGAATCCATTCTCCTCGAGCCGTTTATTGAAATCATAGACAGCAATCTTACGAAGCGCTTTAAAACGAGGCATTAATATGAATAGAGGATACAGAAAGAGCTCTTATCATACCATCCCTGAAGCAGGAGGCATCCCATACTCTAGAGAAGTTATGAAGTCCTCATCTAGGGTGACTTCATAGGCATCGTCGTCCGCGTCTTTCTCTTTCTCTTCAGATAAGTCTTTAGGTGGGTTAATGGCTGCACGCTTCTCATTATGCTGTTTTACTTGCTCTTCCAGGCGAGCTCTCTGCCACATGGAAGGAGGACTCATTCAGAAATAAAAGCATCACCCTGCCACAACACTGTGTACGGGACCAGCTATAGAAACATAACAGCGAGGACGAGATTTATCATGAAAGATGTAAAATTATTGCCATGAACCCACTCGGTGACATAAAACACAGAAATAATTGTTTGCTGGAGAAGTGATGTCAAAGTTCGGCCAGGCTTTCACACTCTGATTTTCAGGGATTAGACCTTCAAGAGAGTGTTTCAACTAAAGAAGACTTCCTTTTAGACAGACTGGAGAGAAATTCCCTCGCACAATGCCAGCAGATGACTACTTACTGGGGGGATACAAATGGAATGAGCTTCTTCTGCTTGGGGAAGGAAACAAATTATCTGCTGGCCTCGCTCTAAGATAAAATTCATAAAAAATTCAATATCTGCTTGCCTCACTCTGGTTGGCATTTTTATCAGTGTAAAGTTCTACAGCTAGGGAAAAAAGGCCAATAATACGACAGTTAGAGTAACAGTAGAAAAATAATTGAATGCTGTCTAATATTGCAAACCTGATCCATAGGATCTGTTAGCTCAGAAAATGCATTCGCAAGCTCACGGCCACAAATGAAAAGTTCGAAGCGCTCGGTCAGACCTGAATGCCTGTGATGTGATAAAAGGAGAAAAGATCATTTCTATCGGTTACATTTAACGGTCCGGGTCATTATTAAACTAAAAATTGAAATAATCACAAAACGAAAGGTTAATGAATTTGCATAATTAATGCAGTGGAGAAAATAAATACTGTATAATGGACCAATAATATCACTAAATGCCAAGAGATGAACACCACCCAGTACACAAGCAAAAAGAGTTGCAGTGGCTTTAATCATACATAATGCAGTTGCTTAGAATAAGCTGCATTACAACATAACTCAATTCCTGCTTCTAAAAACATAAAAATATAAAACATAAAACATTTAATAAAATAAAGGATTGACTAGATCCCATAACCGCTGTCAGGTTCATTTATATCTTAATCGGTCACTTAAAAAAATGAATGCTTCTAAAAGTTCACTTAACAGGACCAGCATAGTAGTTGCAGGCACTGGAACCTGAAATTGGATGATAGATTTCTTATTCAAGGTATCTTCAATGTTTGCAGGAGAAATTTAACACATGGTGCGGGTTGAATCTTCTCTGTTACTTCTTACAGAAAGATGCATTAAATCGACCTAAAAATATGATTTAATACCTAAAAACGATCAAGAAGAGATAATGGGAAACAAGAGACTGGAGAAAGATGATATTTTTCCAAACGTAGGAGAAAATCAAAAACCAATTCTGGGAAGCAAGCAGGGAAGATATTGTGAAGCAAGCAAAACTTTGTTGTAAGAAAAGTCCACAATTTCTTTATTCTTTATAAAATAAAATTTATGGCTATCTTTTAACTGAGCTTCTTTCCTCAATAAAGCTTTCGCGTCATCATCTAGAACACTGATTGAACAAGTGTAATGCCTCCGGAACCGGAAATTGTGGTCCTAATATTTTTTTTTGTTTCAGCCAATGTTTAACCAACTTTCTATTAAATATCAATTGACAAAACTGGTCCTACAACAATTAGAAAGGTTCGTTTTCAAGATGTCACCCACAATCAATGTGTAGTTGATCAGTCATTATCTGGTTGCCTTCATACTCACAAAATTTATGCTTAAAGGGTAACGCATGAATCAAGGCTGCCTCAGCATTTGCTCTCCCAATGATTCCTTATAAAGCCAGTGATTTTCAAATGGAAATACTTGGTTCAGTTCCAAGTTGATTATAGAGCACCACGACATATCCCCAGTTTCTTTTCTTCTACCAACTCAAAATGATCGATAGAATTTTTTAAAAAAAATTCCAGAACAATAAAATAAATCTGATAGGGGAAAGTGACTCAAATGTTAAAGATAACACACGCCGCACATGTCTCTAAAAAAACAAGAGAAATAGTCAGGGTTCAGTAGATATGCAGAGCGAAAAATGTCTCATTTATTACCCATTAGGGTCGAGTTCATGAACACTTTCAGCAAGAAAAAAGAAACGCTTAATTAAAGCTGAAAAAGAACGAAACATTGCTCTTGCTAATGTATTTTGTCAAGTCTGCCCCAGTTTCTTCAGGAATCTCTGAGTTGTAATATGATAGAAGCTCACTGTGTCTGGACAGGATTCTAACACAATTACTTATATGTATCCTATCTTTCTTCGACTGTCCACCAAGACGAGTCCAAAAAGGAAATGTTAAACAGTTTACTTATTCAGAAATCGTCATGGTCAACTAATGAACATATTATCTCAATCATACTAGAAAACCTAAAAAATTGAACGATTTCGCATGCCAGGGTTCACGAACAACGGCAAACAACATCGGTAAGAGAACCCGAAAGATTAAAAAATTCATGCAAGTAAAAAGAGTTAAACAAAATACTACGCAAAACTTTCAGAAGTTTGTATTAAAATGTACGGCTGAATGAAGTTCTTGAAGATATCAGTACCTTCGATGAGGTTTAGCCAGAGGAGATATCTCAACAGGATAGTCAAGGACAAATGTGGGCTGTACTAGATTGGGCTCGACAACAAGCTCGAAAACCTGTGGCAGTAGTTTCACGAAGAAAATGAAGTTTGGATGTCCAATAGAGGAAAGTATAATAAGAACACTCAATAATAGTATCCAGGGAATAGACAACCGAATTGCTGAGCAGCATAAACGTTAACCATCCCTTAATTGACTACAATGCAATATCTACCATAAATATGCTGTTTCAATGTTTACCCATACAGAAAACACAGGTTTCTACTTCTGGGAAATCCAACATTTATAGCCTTTTTTAAAGAGAAAACTGTATATTGACAAAATGAAACCCCAGGATTATTTTTCTTAAAATAAACTTTCAACTCAACTCCCAGATCAATGATATAAGGGTTGAGCAGCGTTTCTCAAAAACATCAACCAACTAGCCATAAGCACAAAATGACACCACATTTTCTAAAGAGAAGAGACATCTTTCCAAACGTTGTATTGGGATAGCCTTTATTAAATTCTTCTGCTGGGACTTCCATGGTGGTATTTATAGAATTTCTCTAGTAACCTTGAAAACGAACATGCCAAATAGGCAATCCAACTACGTGGTACCTTAAAAAACAGTAAATATTTGATACATCTAATGTTGACATCAGAAGTTTATCGTCTTACCTCGTTCAGGACATGCCCCACAGATGGGCATGTCTGAATAAAAAGGCTGTCTTTATCTTCTGACCCAATTCCAAGGGCCTTGATTGCAGCTTCTTTAGCAGCTTCAACATCATCTCCAAAATCTGTGAAGTTAATACCAGTGTGTTCCTTGACAAGATTATGCATGGTTTCTCTCCGCCATGGCCTCTCTAGACAAATCTCAGTTCCCTGAGAGTAATAGAAAAGATTTTCATTCATATTGAGAATTGAAGCACATAAGATTACAATACCTAAAAATTATCGAAAATAATAAATCATTAGAAAGAAGCACTAATAAACTACAGTGGCGATTCTTACACTGCTCGCCTAGTTCATGAAAAAGTTAAACCATTATGATTATTCAGCAGCGATCATAACATTAGTGCTCAAGATAGCGTTGTTTATGTATCAGCCAGCTCAATTTGGACAATAACAATTCTATATCACAAACCAATTCAGCATCCCTACAGTAGAAATCTGAATTGGAAAACAGACGAATACAAGAGATCATATTGATGATGCTACAAATCAAATCTCATTATAAGGTCTCTATCCAGCCTTGATAAAAGAAAAACGTCGTCGATATAATGTGAAGCAGTGTGTAACTTCAGCTCTATTCTATCAAAATATATAGGTCAAAGAGAAAGAGCCATGTTTGAATAGGATGAAAAAATACAGCACTAAAAAGATATATATAAATAAAAATTAGCAGATAAATGGTGTGATTCTATAGAGATGTCCTCTGTGCCATATATTAGTGGATACCTACATAGCCAAGATCAAAATTAACAGATATTCATCCTCCAACAAAAAAGAGGATTTGTCCCAGGAGTGCACAAACAAATTAAGCAGTCTTCATCTGGTAAATGGTATCAAAGAGACACTGGATACGTTCAAGAATGTTTATCTTCCATCAAAGAAGAGGATTTTTCGCAGGAGCACACAACAAAATTAAGCCGTCTTCATGTGACAAAGGGCAGCAAAGATACACCGAATACGATCAGGAGTGTGCACAAAAAACTGAAGTTCAGACTGGCCTCTATAGGTCTAGATGAGGCAGCATTCAGTAAGCATAAAAAAGAAACCCTTAATGAAAGCACAACTGAAATGATTGGGAGGATTTCTGGTCATCTTCTTTCATCAAGTATGAAGTGGTTTCACTCAGGTGAACCAAAAAACATTTGGTTTTTAACCAAATCCTTCTAGAGTTTCTATTTGATTGAGCTCAGTGAGCCATGGCGAATGAATAAAAATAATATTTGGACAAGAGTTCCCACAATTTACATGTCCACCATGCAGTAAGCATAGTGTTGATGACAGTGAGTATAAACACGTTAACTCAACTGAAATAACAAAACAGAAATGCAGTGGCCTGGTAACAGCCAAATTCTTACCTGGTACTCAATGTTAAGCTTTCCATGAATCACTTGAGCACATCGGGTGACAATCTCCTCTGCCATATTCATCATGCTTTGATAATCTGAATACGCTTCATATAACTATATCACAAGGTATATTGAGAAAAAAAAGTGATCTTCTAAGCATTAAAAAAAATCACTAGAAAAAAGAGACTAGGAAATAATGACAACCTCAATTGTTGTAAATTCAGGATTATGGCGTGTTGAAATGCCTTCATTCCTGAATATTCTGCCAATCTCATAAATCTTCTCGAGGCCCCCGACCTGCAAGTTGCAAATAAAAGTCGGCGGTTCCTCCATTAAAATGCAGATAAATAAGGTAGTATTAAATCTGGCCTCTGCTATCACTGGGAAAATGTCAGTAGAGCATTAAGAAAGGAAGAAAAAATTACATGCAAGTAAAAATAAACAAAAATGATTAAAGATGATAGCATTTCATGAAACTCACCAGCATTCTCTTCAGGTGCAGTTCTGTAGCAATTCTCAGGAAAAGATCTCTTCCAAGTGAATTATGGTATGTCACAAATGGTCTTGCTTCTGCGCCACCAGCTGCTCCCTGATTAACTAAATAAGCATCACTTGAATACTTGAATGAGGTTTTTCATGTAAATATATGAATGATGCAACAAAGTTGGAAGCAAAATAGTTAAAACCTTCAGCTCAAGAATGAAAGCTAAGAGATCAGATCACAAGATATTCACAAAATCATGTAAAGTATGTGTGCAAAAATGAAAGGAAATAAGGAATAATAGCGTTACTTTTTTAAAATTAACGTCAATGAGATGAAAGAGGCATGTGCCTTTGTCTCAGTAATATTTTGATTAATTTTAGGATTTCCAGAAAATCCGGCCTGGATAGGTTTGTGTCCATGTCACATTCAACAGTAGGACTCCATCTCCATGAAAACAAAAGATCTCTTGATTCTCACCACCAAGCTAAGATTAGAATAACCTTCTATAATCTCAAAATTACTCTCTAAATTCCACTTCCAAATTCGTTCTTACGTGCAATCTAACTATACCAAAACGAGTAAACAGATTTGATGCATGCTATATAAATATCATTACAGAATTGGGAAATCTTTCGGCCCACATATGACAGCATATAATGAATCAATTCATTCAATAGATAACACTAAAATTAGACAACTAAGGATCAAGTTTTGTCACATTCACAGAACAAGAGCCTCTTAGGATTAAAGTTGATACGCCCATTTTCTTTTCTTTGAAATTAAAATAAATTAAAGAGCACTCGATAAACTTGAAAGTCTCCTCGAATATAATTATCACCCAAGATACGCTAGTTAAAAGGTTCATACTGATTACAAGAACACATGATTATTGTAATTAAACAATAAGATGATCCTAATGAGCTCTGAACAAAAAAAGCACCCATTCTGAGACCATAAAAACAAAACCCATTACATTATTTAATGAGTAAATGAATATTTTCAAACTTCCTCTGATAGGGGACAAGGCAAAATGTGGCAACAATGAGAAGGTTATAAGAATGGAAAAGAATGAAATGTCGTACAGACCTGCAATACTGGAGTCTCGACCTCAATGAAACCCAAAGATTCCATAGTCTTGCGTACCTCAGAAACAATCTACGATAGAAAAAAAGTTCAAAGTGAAAAACTTGCTACCATTTCTCGAATTTACAAGTGATAAGACAATCAGTTTTGGTCAAAAAATAACTCCAGGGTCATGAAAAAAATGATGATTGCCCAAACAACACTGTCAGAATGCTTAAGGAAAATATTGGCCGCTTCTAACATGATTTCAGGAATTGGGCTGTCCAGATCACAGCTAGTCAAGAATATAATTCTCAAAACTGATTTTCAGTAAAGAAAAGAAAAAGGGTCTTCTGGCTGTTGCTCAGTTGGATTAAAAAGGCTGAAATGGGCACTTATTGCACCTGCACGTTAATCCACAGTGGTACAGCCCTCACAGTGCTGTTTACGAAGCTACATTTCAACCGATATTGCTGCCTTTGATCTTCTTGTTCTTTCCCATGGCAAGGCAATTGATACACCTGACCTTAATCCACAGTGCTACCACCATCACAATTGCTGTTTACGAAGCTACATTTCAACTGCTATTGCTGCCTTCGACTTTCTTATTCTTTTTCATTGCAAGACAATTGATACAGGTTTCTGCTTGGCTGCTGCACTAATTATTGATAAAAGCCAAAGGATCAACAGGTCGGGTTTTACTACAACTAATTGAGATGCGTTTGGATAACATTCTATTTCGATTGGGCATGCGTTCGAACATTCCATGGTATACTTTAATTAATGGTCGTATAGTAGATATATCAAGTTATCGTTGCAAACCCCAGGATAAGAAAAGATCAAAAGCTCTGATTCAAAATAATATTGCTTCAACCCCCCATGAGGAGGTGCCAAAACATTTGACTATTGCCTCAGTTGATAATAAAGGACAAATAAACCAAATAATAGATAGTAAGTGGATCCGTTTGAAAATAAATGAGATCTTAGTTATAGAATATTATTCTCGTCAAACTCGACTCAGAAAAAATAACAAGGAAAGGTTCCGGCAACTTTGGTGCAAAGTCACTGGAATTAGGAGGGAGCTGCCTCATGTGGTTCAAATCTAAAGCACAACTCAAGGTTATATTGGTGATTAAAATAATGAATTTGCCCCAAGCAAGATTCTTTTGCCTAGAGAATGTCGCTAATCACTGTGGGCTAGTATAGCATTGGGGACTGTCGGCTTGATCTTGTGAACGTGTCTCCCAGGTGGAAGTTTATCCTTGTAAATAGAAGATAAAAGTAGCAAATGGATAAAAAAAAGGAAGCTAACTAACAGAGAGAACTGACTCTGTAAAATCGTAAAATTTAAGGAAAAGGAATTAGATAGACTTGCTACCTTAGCTCTTACGCGGAATACATTTGCAACTTCTGGATTAGCAATCATGTCAATGTACCTAAAATGCAACATATAAATCAACAACTACAGAAGAATCTCAATGAGCAGAAATTTTGAAATCACACAACGAAAACCATAACGTTTTTCTGAAGCATATAATACCAAATAAAAGGTTAATCCTGGTGGTGACACAGAGGAGAGCCTAACGAGCAACAATCAGATATTTACAAAATGAAAAAAGGCTGCACTCCAACAACTCTTCATGTCATGAAGGCAGTGTACCAACACAAAGATAAACCTGGAATTGCTTACACATAGCCAAGTTTTAAAATGTTTGGGATCTAAATCAACAAAGAAAAAAGTGTGTTTAATGGCCTATTTTGAGATGTTATATGTATTTAGAGAAATCATGACCAGACTTCACTCCCAGATACAGAACAGAATGTGCCAATTCCAGTCGAAATCTGCCTATCCAGCTTGAAATCAAGTGATTCTATTGAACATCTTCTCAGTGCATCTTGTTAAGCCAAATGCTTCACAGGTGATGGCCTAATGAACTCGCAATGGTAGTGAATGATGTTTTCATGAGTCTATTGTGATATCCTGATGATGAGAAGCATTTGAGCATGTTCTTCAGCAGCATCAATTTTGGCTTGCAGGCATTGAGATGGTTATGCACTTTTCCACGTGGAAAGGATTCTATTTCAAGAAATTATAATCCCATTTAGAGGCATTCTGTTCTTTTATTAAGGGTGACATATACTATCACAACATTGACAGAAGTATGAAACTATGATCAGAGTATGATACCGCAACATTGCAGATCACAAAATTCAAGTCTCTCATTCCATTTCATGGAAGGTAATTCATACAGTTCGTGCAGTGATACCGCAAGAAGCCCAGTATGATTACTTTTACAATAGAATGAATTGCCTAGACTAAGCTTTATTATCATGAAAGGTCAGCATGCTTCTCAGCCCTCATTCAAAGAATCATTTTTTGAGAGCTGTCCAATACGCATGGACTCAGCAGGGGACAGAAGATGGTATGCAAACAAGATCCATGAAGAAAGGTGAATTTTTCAGCTTTATATAAAGAAATTAAGAATGTCTGCAAACTTACCTCTGGCGGTAGCGCTTATCAATATCAGTTAAACCATGATATTTATCTGGAAGTGGAAGTAGAGATTTTGTGAGAATTGCAAAAGACTTTACATGTATGGAAAGCTCTCCTGCAGAAGGTATGATGTCAAATGATTAGCTTCTTCAAGCAGAAAAAAAGCCAATACTTTTCACATAGATTATGAGCCAAAATTTGATCAAACAAGCGTTTATTATTAGCTGATGTTGGAAGAAATTTAGGCAACCGTAACTTTTCATGAATCAATGGTATTCTCTCGCGTTACCTTCACTCAATAAATAAAAGATCAATAAATAAGAATGAAGAATCATGATTGGTTCATAGTTTACCTTTCTCTGTCTTTTTTATTGAGCCACTTGCTCCTACTATATCACCAACATCAACAAATGCCTTTAAATGCTCAAATTGATCGTCCTGGAGGCTTTCCTTCTCGCAATATAACTGAAAACAAAATGGAAGTACTTATGCAACGAGAATATGCAGATTCTATTACTAACCACAGCTTGCCCAACATAAAATTAGTAATTAAATATTAAAAAATCAATAAAATAACTAAATGAAAGTAAACACTTGAGTGATTGGTTTTCGTCATCAAAAAGTAAATGAACTTTCATAACTACTTTTCTCACCACGAACTTGCAGCAATGAAGGGAAGACTTACAAATTTGCCAACCAAAATGAATTCTGGAATCGAATTAGGAATCAAAAAATCAATCAGCGGGTGTAAAAACAAGCTTGTAAAATTATTTAGTATTACAAAGTTACACTGCCAACAATAATATGCCTAATTTACCTACAAAACTAACAATGAATTGAGTCCCAAGCCAAAATCAATTGGAAATGAGTGGGGTAGGTCCCACATACTTGCCATATTCCTCTACGTTTTTTTTTTGCTATGTGAAATTACACCAATACATGCCCATACAGATTCTGATTTCATGACTAAACATCACATGAAAAACGCAACAGATGGATCCAAACTCAGACGAAATTTGAGGCTTAGATCAATTACGAAAGAATCATCTTGTCCACCTCAAAACTAATTAAATTGCAGATCATGCAGGATTATTTTAGTTGAAAGCCATAAAATATACAAGAAAATGCTAGATGCATTAAAAGGATGCAATAGTGGGCAATCATCCAGAAATGAAAACATAAATGAACTTCAACAAGTATGCAAGAAAAAAAAATTGTTATCTGGATGCTTCTTCTATTCGAACCTTTGTCTGCTTTTAGGCTCTGAATTAGGGATATAGTGGCGATGTCTGAGTCAAACTGGAGAGCTTCAGCTGAGGGGAAACTCACAAGCAGAAGAAGCTGGATCGCAAATTTTGGTAAGTCATCTCGTATGCAAAACTTTTGGTTATCTGGTCAGAGAGAAAGTAACATAGTTTTGTGAGGAAATGTGTCATAGAGCCTATGAGTTGTTCATGTGGGTTTGTGACAAAATGAAAGAATGGGTGAGATTTTCACGAAAGTCAGAGAGAGAAAGAGGGTGATTCTGTTATTTTAGGAACCCGAATCTTTTACTTTATCTTACACCATGCAGGTGTTAAACGAAAATGACGTATCAGGTTCTCGGAAGAGTTCACAGTTCACCCACCTGTACATGTTCTCTTTATATATTAATCATGGTGTGCTTCTATCCAACTTTAAAAAAGAACGAAAAATAAACAAAAGATTACACATTTACAACAACAGTAAACACTTATTACAGGTGATAATGGATGCATAAGGGGCATTAATATAAATCATTAGATGGCAATAAGAAAAGAGTGACCAAGTATTCAAAGAGAAAACAAGATAAAAATCTAATAGCAGCGTGATACATACGCCACAAATACAAACATCTGCTATTATGATGATATACTAAATAAAACAGACCTAATAAGGAAACATGAATAATAAGTTCGCATATTAAACATAAAGAGAACAAACCTGAATAATCCCAGAATCATCCCTTAAAGTCAAGAATGCAAGTTTACCAAATTGTCGGCGAGCAACAACTCTTCCAGAAATTGACACAAAAACTTCTTTGCACTCTTCACCATTTCCTAAGTAAGAGTACAGGTCCTGGATATGCTGAGTAGTATGGCTTCTGTCCCATTTATATGCATATGGTTCATGACCCTTGCTCCTCAATTCTTCCACCTGGAGAAGCAGAGAACAATAATCAGCCAGGAAAGAGCAAGAAGCTAGTTAACCAGCTTCAAAGCGTCGAACTTAAATAAACCTTTGGAACCAAAATCTCGAAACTCCCAGATTTCCACAACTTCTCAACTGCCTGATGTATTTCTGGCAATCACAGTGATGTTGACAGCATACGCTGTCATATCTGGAGAAGTTTCTTAATGAGGTGAGGGTTTAGTGATTGGCCATCCTCTTATGAAGACGCATAGAGCTCTTGTAAAGTTCAGATACATTTCCACAAAACGGCATGCTTAGCATATATAATTCTTGTATTTCGCTTTGACATTCACTTTTTATTGAACATTAGACGAAGAAAAACACTTTCCAAGGAATAACCAATCGAAAATCTGAAAGTTCGTTAACATGAGACCACCTTGTAATAGCATATCTTTAAAAGAAAAAGAACTGGAAACAGAGATCTTATCTCAGTCAGTCATTATCCCACAAACCGCTTCAACATACTGAATTTCACTATGTTCCAGACTGTAAATCAATTATATGACACGGAAAGTGTAGAAATAGCTGCTCACAATGAACTTTGAGAAAGAGAATTACGGTTACTTCTCATCTGCATTGTCAATTAATCAAACACAGAAACTCGATGAAAGTTCGCGAAAGAAACAGTCCCAAAGCAGGGGTTGGGGGGAGGGTGTTTGGTGTTGCAGCAACGAACACATAGCTCTCAAGACTGAATAGGAGCAGAAGTGAGAGGCAGTGGGGTGACCTTCTTGAGACGAATGGCACGAATTGAGTCCCTATCCGAGGTAGAGGCGCTCTTCCCGCGGCGCCGATCGGGGGCACCGGAGGCAGCGGGAGCAGCAGAGGCCGGCGCGGCGACGTTGGATGAGCAGCACCTGATCCTGGCGTCTCTGCTTGTCCTGGCTGTCCTGAGCGCAGCAACCCCGGTCGAAGCAGACCAGGACGGAGCGGAATGGAACATCAACAGCCTGAAAGGCCCCGACGTGGCCCTCCATAGCCGTACAGCGTCCATCTCCTACCCCTTCTCCACTACCACAGTGCAGAGTGATCGACAGGCCCTCCGGGAAGAAGGGTTTAAAGCGGTTAGCCGAAACGGCGACCTTATCCTTCCTCTCGGGCTATCACGGCCCAACTTTTGGGTCCACTAGGTTCGCTCGTGGGCTTTCAGGCTCCTCTACCCACTGGCGGGACTTTTGGGCTATCACTGGGACCACTGAGCCCCGTTAAGACGGGACTTGAGCCCGACTTACCCGTTGACTAAAGTTATTCGTTTGTAAGAAAGTCAGTACCTATTAATTGCGTCATAATAGAGTATGATAAAATAATTTCTGCCCCCCTGACACAAGGGCGTTAGATGCCGACGCAAGTGGGAGGAGACCTTGCGTACGAGCAAAGCGTCCTCTCTCTCCCCCTCTCCCTCTTAAAGTTATCACATTAGAAGCTGGGCTACTCGTCCCATATGCATGGAGACACAGAGAGAGAGAGATGAGGGTGCGTGGCGTGTTCATCATCAGACACGTGGAAGGAGCTTAGAGAACCCCCCCGAAAAGCTTGTCCGTGGGGGGAGAGGCAGGCGCCCCGATCGGGGGCCACGTGGAGGTTTAATCAGCGTCGATCTCAATCAGGTACGTGAGGATGGAACCAAGGCCCTTGCGCCCACGCTAAGGGCGTGGCGTGTTGAGGAGAGAGACGGGGACAGGACGGAAACCGAAATCCGTTCTCGAGTTTCGGCTGCCATGCGTTCTCCGGGGTTCTCGTCACCGCCCAACTCATTCCCTCGGGAGTGAGAAGGGAGACGGAGGGAGCTTTTCTCACAGGAAAGCCGCTCTAAAGTGACCAAGACAAACAGCAGGAGCACCAGTGTCCGCTATTAAAGGTACCGCATCTCGTTCCTTCCCCAGCCTCCTCCCCTCCGACCCCTCAATCCTCGCCACTGCCTCTTCCGCTCTTCCTCTTTCCTGACACTCGCGGCTCGCGCCGTGACCTTTTATGTGCTTCTTCGTTGATACTGATCTTCTTGGTCTTGCCGTTTGATCTGGTTGGAGATCCGTGTTACTGGTTTGTATTCGTCTTCTTGGATGATACTTCTGGAAGCCAACTGGAGAAAAGAGAGGTCCGTGTCCCTCTTGTATCCGAGCGCCAAGGGGGGTTCCCTCATTTTTTTACCGTATAAGCGTTCACGCTCGGGCTTTTCCTGATGTTTTAACGTTGTAAATAATCAGATCCTGCTTCTGTTTCCTTCTTGCGAAATGTTTCTACCCTGTGAGGATGCTACGTGACAATTTGCTTGGAATCTGTCACAGCTGGTGTACGATACACTATCTTACATAGTGATGTTGTTTCCTTGGAAACTGTGGAAAGGAAGGTTTGGCGTTACGGTGTAACATTTCGTAGTTAATTCACCAGGAATTTTTATTTATTTTTTTTGCGTAGAGGGGAGCTTGAAGCGTGAAATGCTGGTTCAATATCTCAAGGATCATCTGCCATTGGAGTACCCTTGGAATTTCAATTCCTTCTGCGCAGTTCTGCTGGGTAATTGTGCCAGATTCTTTGAGCCATATTGATTTTTCTTTATAACGTATAAAAGTTAGACAAAAATGGAAATTAATGGCAATTAAATTGGATCTGTTTCGGATCTGTTTTTGAGAGCATTGAGTTGATGCCAACGATTAGTTGTTACCTGAATGTATCCTATTACTATTTTTTCAATTTTTTTTCTCGGTGCTATATAGAAGTTCAGCTGAAGGGCCTTAAATACCATCTTATAATATGTTTTTTTTATCTCTATTTTCAGGATGACACAATATGCGGAAATACACTTCTTTTTATTTTGAATGGTCATCACTGGGAAACTACATGGTGAATATGTATTTCTGTTTTTCTGGACATTTATAATCGTTGAATTTTTTTAATCCTGATAATGAATTTCGGCCTCGCTTTTTCAGCTCTTTTGACACCAAGACACTAGTTCGAAATGGCTAGCCGACAGATGGAATTTCACTACATTAACACTGGGTTCCCCTATACAGTAACTGAGAGTTTTATGGACTTATTTGAGGGGCTCACTTATGCACAGGCAGATGCCACTCTTTCAGGAACTTTGCATGACCAGGTAAATCTGAAAATTTGAACCACTTGTAATTTTCAGATAATATGATAATTTTCTATTTAAGCATTTAATTTTAAAGATGTGATGTCTGTAGCTACAGTAACTTATCTGCTCCTTTGTTAAGGATTATTTATTTAATAGAAAAAATCATTTTATTTAATTATCCTTGAAAGGGAAGTCGGGTATGTTGTGTTACTTGATGTCGAAATTTATTTCCGTGATTATTTTCCACTCAATGTAACCATTCACATGCGTTGTGAAACTCATGCGCCTGTCTTCTTCTTCGACTAAATGACTCTGAAGATAGTTGCTATTCTTTTCCATGTATTCATGCTTTTTTGACTGAAGAAAAGAGAAACTTTTTCATATATGCCATTTTTGTCATTTTTATATGATATACTTTGTTACACATGTATGTGCAGGGGAATCCATATTGGCCAATGATCCACACACATTCGTACAAGTACGGCTTTTCTGGTTCAGCAAGTAATTCCAATCATAGCCTGAGTCACATGTATGACATGAATGATCTTGCACTGAGATTCGATGGAGGTGGACGACTCTGGGACAGTTCTTCGGTATCAAATATTGAAGAATCTCCTAATCTGGTTTCACATGGCGGCATGATTGGTGCTGAATCAGGTGCTAGCACTGGCACTGAGGACTGTAAGTCTGATTCATGTTTCATTTCGTTGAGTAGGTGACAAATTATGAATATTGGATGTTGTTCTCCTCATCTGGTACTATTATCAAATAGTTATTTCCCTAATACTTGGTTGAGTGGACACTAAAAGGATATGCATTGGATGTTGGTCTGAAAATTGGATATCTTATCAAGAACTTTAACATCTTTCTTAGCCTAGTTAGTCAAATTGAATGAATTCCATTATTGATGAGATGATCCACAAACTGTACGAGAGGGAATTCCTTTATAATCATAAAACATGTGCTGGTAATATAACAAATGGAAATGAATTTTCTTTGCATGATTTCCAAAAGAGTTGGACTCAGCTTGCGAGCTATAGTAAAGCCTCACATTTTTTTTTGGTTGAATATGTTATGTAAAGAATTGAAGGATAGAATAGAATGTGGTGAGGCTCACAATATTTTGGTCTGTTCACTCCTTTGGATTTCACTATGAGGCACACTGTATTCACACAATCAAACATTTTTTTATGGATTTATCAAACCGCATTTATGTCTAGTATCAACCTCTTATGCAGACCTTAGTTTATTTTTGGTAGTTTCTATATAATTACAGATGAGTTGAAGTAAAGTTCTTTATTTACGTGTTTTATAGAGAACTCTTCTCATCTTTAAAATTTATCTCATGCCTGCTTTTTAAAACAAGTTCAGTCTGGAAATTTTCTTTGTCGCATAGTTCCCAATGAAGACTGTTAAGTTTTTATAAATCCGTTGTAATACTTGATTTTCAACTTTGCAGGCATTCGGACTCACCACAATGGCACCAATCCTCATGTAAGAGCCGATCTTTATTTCTGTTGTCATGAAAAAAAAATTACTTTGTTGAATATGCCCATTCCACAGTCTGAGATTAATTCCATTACTCTATTTCGGTGTTGAGATTTTTAAGCGTCATAAGTAAGCAGATCTAATTGTTATTATTTAAGTCCTCAGCAGTTGATGGATCAGGTTGTCGGAAATTGTTTGGGGTTTGGATACTAAATTAGCAGGATTGATGTAATAAAAGTTTATGGTGATGATGATCATTGTTCTGCTACATCGCTTCTATTGACTATGCAGTACATGTGATTTCTTCACGTAATTATGACGACTAATAGCTGCCTACCTATCATACCTATTCACCACCTGACAACTATTTTATTTGTTTATTTGAAGGCTTTCTACTTGTCTCATTTTTTAGATCACCCACTGCAATTTCTTACTTCTGGCGAACATGGCCTCTTCACTATTTTTTGCTATCATATCCTCTTACTATAGCCAAGCATATGCTTTTTTGCAAGTCTCTTCCTTTTTTAAAAAAACTACGGTCCAGACAACATTTGCATGAGAGAATCTGAGCAACATATTTGATTCGTGTCTAGCAGGTCATCTGGCAGGACAACATCGATCCAGACAATATGACGTATGAGGTTTGTGACACTACCTTGTGTCATATTCAAAGAATGATTTTTGGTTAATCACACAGTTATCCCTTTTTCTCGGTTCTTACTTTTAAAGTGCGAGGTAACACTATTAAGAAAGGATCATTGGACCTGTATGTAAGATACACTTGGTGGGAGCAGTTATGGTAAAAACAACTAATAATGGTCAAAAATCAGACAATCATTACACAGAAATAAGTGAATTAATTTTAAAAATAGTAGTTAATTTTTTCTTGAAAATATTATTCGTTAAACATTAAGTATATATTTTACACGTTTTATAAATATTTTAAAAAAATAATGTCATAAAATCAGAAAATAATTCAACATAGTATTAAATTAAAACTTTAAATACTTATATAATTTTTTCTCCTGTGAATATTATTTGAAGCGGAATAGGGGGTTTTATGAGTAGGGATGGTTGGTCATTTTAAAAGTCAAATTTGGTAAACTCTAATGGCAGTTTAGATGGCACGTCCTTCTCAATTCGATTAAATTCATATTTGAGCATGAAACCATTTGGAATGATCCTTATGTTAAATGGATCTGTAATGAATAAGTCTATACCATTGAGTTACGTAGATGAGCATGATATTGATATTCACCCTTTAGAAACTGTGATTCTATTTCCAGTTTTCAGATATCAGAAGCAGAGACTCAAATTCGTTCATATGTTATCTTATTTCAGCATGGTCTTAAGTGAGGGTTTCAACAGGCTAAACTGGACTTGGGCTTTGCAAATGAGCTTGTGTGGCATTTACAACGCCTGAACACCTATAATGGGCATACAAGTCGAACACCTAGAAAGCTTTCCCCCCAGCACTATGGTTCTTATGCACCTGTGTTTTAGAGGAAGATTTGTTGCCACCTAGGAGTTTGCAGGACAAACAATGGGGCTAAGGGCTTCTGTGAATCTATGCCGAATCCAATGGAAGCCGGAACCTAACGAGGTGGACTGGACCGGTATCAAGGCTTATGGGACCCACCCACTTACGACACGAGTCTTAATTTCCCTTTAGTGTTCCATGAGAGGGGTTAATCGAAGCTATCATCTTGCTTTGCGATGGCATAGCATCTAGATAGAAAACCAGTAAAGACAATGATTATCTGCAGCACGATCTGCAGAGTGGATTTGCGGTGGGATACATTATTATGTGTAGAGCATCTGGTGAATGATCTCAAGTAACTCTAGATTGATTGAATCTTCAAGGGTGCGAGGACAACTCATGTCCTTTTTCCCCTCTACTTAGCGTGTACTTTTGTGTATTATTTCGTTTATTGAAATAGAACAGGTGATGAGTTTAAATATCTTAACTGTGTATGTCTGCAATCCCACCCGTGGCTTATTCAAAGGACCGTACCAACAACAATTTATCTCCATGGATCATGGCGATGCTTCCATATGCGTGTGAAAAATATTTTTTTTCTAGGCCTCTACTGTCTTCATCGGTAGATGTGTTTTGTCGAGCTTAAAAGTTCATCCACGATTTTTACTGAATCTACAGTGTCTATTTTTTCCATAGGAATTGCTTGATTTAGGCGAGGCTGTTGGAACTCAAAGCCGTGGTCTTCCACTAGAACTTATTATGTCGCTCCCGGTCTCAAAGTACAAGTGTAGCCTCTTTTCCAGAAGAAAGGCTCGGGGTGAGAGGTAAACCTCCTGGCCATTGCCTTTGTTATTCATCGTGGAAAGGTTGCCGCATGAGATACTATGCCGCTGTTTCCCCATTCATTGGTACTTGGCAACTTTATTAGATTTTTTTTCCCCTGTGCAAAGTTTGATGTTAACTTCTTTTATAGATCTTGACTACATATTTTGCAGAAAAAAGATTGTTATCTTAATCTGATATGATCGAAACTCGGTTTCGTATTTACTTTAATCGGTGAACCTGTACAGAGAAGGTCACGAGGTCCCCTTTTAGCCTGGTAACATCATTAATGTCGGGTTTTCTAATCCCACTGCTGAACCTTTTCACCGGCCTCACTAGGAATGATGAGGAAGATCGAAGTTTGGAGACTGACTCAATGTCTTTCCTTTCTAAGCCGGACCCTGTCATAATTCTCAGCGTTTCTACCTGTTCTTTACTAAAAGTGGAAAATAGGGTTATACCACCCGGACTGTCTTGTCTCATGGCTCATTGGTGACAATATTTTTACGCGGCACAGGTGTGTGATCTGCCAGATGGACTACAAAAGAGGTGACAAGCAGATGACTCTCCCATGCAAGCACGTCTACCATGTGGGCTGCGTCTCTAGATGGCTTGGCATTAACAAGGTTAGTGCTCGTCTGGACATCGATACCTGTAATATAGAAATGGGCGCGGATATCTCAGTAATCTCAAGTGCCTGTTGATGTCTTTGTATCAGGCCTGCCCAGTCTGCTTTGCAGAGGTATTTGTCGAGAAGCCCAGGGGCACGTGAATTCGGGTGAGAGAATCTCGTCCCAGATCTTCCATTGTCGTTTCTCTGCCTTTCCTGCTTGAGGTTTCACCTAATATGCCAGGATGTCACGTGTCCTCTTTGCTTGATAAATTTTAATTTGCTCGCCTGCCCCTCCCCTATGGCCCCGCCTCTCCGCCTCCTGCACGTGCATCTCTCTGTTGGAAATCGGAATCTGTTCTTGTTCGGCGGTGTGTCAGGACTTATTTCGTTGGCTTTCGGTTGTTGTCGAAGAGAAGCACCCGCTTGTCCGTCCTGTTCCTTGATTCTTGCTTTCTCTTATTCGCCCAGTGTTTGCGATTTCATTAACTCTTGGCGACCGTGAGTGGAGGGAGTATCGAAGTGGAAACAAGAGGAGCCCTGAGAAGAAGGCCTATGGCCTGAGTATGCTCATGAGGCATGACTTTTTCTTTTTTTTTTTCTGCATGCATGCTACAATGATCAAGATGGCGTCTCTCCCCTTAGTTAGAGAGAGAGAGAGAGAGAGAGAGAGGGAGGGAGAGAGAGAGAGGTAATCCTGATCCCCATCCTTGGGACGTTTCCCGTGGAAAATAAACTTGTCAGAAAGAGGAGAAGAGTTGGGCCATGGGAAAGCAATAAAAATTGAGCTCACGCCGGAAAGAGCTTCGATAAGATCTAATCCCGGAAGCCCAAAATCTGTTTCAATATCTCTACATGTCGGACGTCTCTCTCTTTCTCTCTCTCTCTCTCGCCGCCCTTTCATTCATGCGTGCGTATCCACATGATCGTTCACAAATAACGTCCAAACTATACTCTATGATATTATCATACACGTATGTTTCGAATGTCAAAACTACATACAGCTCAGCGGTGGCTCGACTCGTCTGGCTATGCTTCATTCAACCAGACTTCTCTGCATGGCACGTACCATGGTTTCACCTTTGAAGTCCTGTTCTGGAATTAGGTAGCCAGTACTTAGTTGACTCTCCCACCGTGTCCCACGGCGAGAATGGCTCTCTCTGCCGAGCGGGCTCACTAAGAGGAGCACTTCCACTGTCCGTTTTGCTTGTCCTCGACGGGGACTTTCCTTCGCTCCGATGGTGAATGAGATCCCCTTCTAGTCTCGATGGTGGCATCGTTTATAATTATAATAGGGATTATGTTCCAATCGTAACTAAGTGATGTAGAGTTATCTTAATCAACTGAAATCCCTTCTGTTCTAAGATTAACCGACTGTCTTTACGTAGATGATTAAGTAAAAACGCAGTAGGAACTAGAATGAACAGTGCAGCCTAGTTCGGTTCAGTCACTCTCAAGATTGTCTCCATCTTTAAGGGAGAGCTCATGCCACACAGGTATATCAGCAGCTACACCTACTAGAGGGAAATTCAAGCTGGGTTCCTCTCAGTTAAGTGCTAGAGAGGACTGATGATATACTCTCAAGACAACACAGGCATCAAAATAACCCGACACCCTGCAAAACAGCATAAATTAAAGGTCACACCACATAGGAAAGCAAACAAGTACTTTTTAAGCCATCTCCCTGAGAAGCTTCGAGACTGTCCATCTCAAATTTGGTCCCTCTACAAGAGCTACCCTCGTAGATGCTATCTCAGTTGTGTCTCTCTCCCTCTCATTCCTTGACACCTCCTGTCTCTTCACTCGCTCTTGTCCTCCCTTGGACCCCTCTCCTTTATCTCTCTTCCTTCTTCCTTACTATCAAGTTATCATCTTTTGTAGCATACTTATCAAGGGTGGTTATCATAAGTGAGTAATATCATCTCGTCCCATCTCTCTCTCTCTCTCTCTAGCTCTCCTTCCCCCTTCCGCTCATGGCACAAGTGGGCTCTAAGTCAAACAATGAGAAGATAGAGTTCCTCAAAAAAGAGCTTGAAGACATCCGCCATGATATTTTGGGTCTCGAATATGATACTATCACACTACAAGCTGATGTCAAAGAAATCCAACGCAAAAAGATGGCAATAAAACAATAGTTCAAATATATTATTCATTCTCCTAGAAATTTATGTCGACAGAATAATCTCACAGACCCTTGGCACAATGATCACCTAGATGACTGGGCACTAGGCAAACCAAGTCATGGCCATCCACTCTCCCTCCAATAGGACCTTGAGAACCCAAATCTCAAAGTATGGCTACACTCTCATCCTAACAGATGACATCCCTCTACAAACAACCGCTAATATCCACATACAAAATTGTGGCATGGAGGATGTAGGCTCAACATGTCAATATTAACTATTAGGATCCAAAACGTATGATCCTTTAAGTAGAGCTATTCTTCTAAATGCATTGAGTATCAACAAAAAATAAGTTATCTATAGTATGCATCAGCCTAGAAGGAAGACCCTCTTGTGGTTTAAATGGAGCAATTCATGCAATCCATTTCAAAGTTAGGATGATATATGTTAAGAACTCTTGAAGCATTTCAATTCAAATCAAACAAGATCACTTTGCCAACAATTCCTTAAAATCAAGCAACATGATTCCATCACAAAATACCATGAGGATTTTAAACTCACTATTACAATCTTAGGTTACTTATCATAACACATCTTCGAACACATTCCTCAAGGGATTATAAAAGAAAATTCAGGTAGAAGCCTCACTCCTAGAACTAAGAGGACTTAAAGCAATGATGAGAATGACCCAAAAAGTCAACATCAAATTCAATGTCCTCAAGGGATTCAACCACTCTAGAAGATCTTACAACACAAACTTCTCCAATAATACTCTCCTAGTTATAATATTTGTTGATGAAAGTCCTCAAAGCTGCTTCCCCTCGGTCTAGTGATAGCATGAGCAACACTATTATTATTGAAGGACCCACCAACTTCCAAAATAACAGGCTCCATCTTATCCTCACAAAAATTCAAGTGTAGCAAGCCAAAGGTATATATTTTTCATGCAACAAGAAATACTTGTTGAGACATTACTACAAGAGAGAATTACAAACATCAATAATCCATGAAGATGTATCATCAAATGTCTAAGTTGAAGAAGTCAAGTCCAAAGAAGAAGACTTCACTCATCTAAAAATATTCATCAACTCTCTAGTTGAAGGCTCTCCCAATTGAGCCCTTAAATTTTAAAGAAAATATCAATGAGAGGCACATCACAAACCTTGTTGACACTAAGGTTTTACCCAATGTTACATCATAGAAATCCATCCACAAAATCTAAATAACTCTTACAACCATTTCGTACTTTCAAGTTATTACAAGAACTAGTGAAAAGGTGCAAGAATTAAAAGTTTGCTACATAATCCTGTTATAAATGCAGCCCCTTATGGTGCATGAAGACTTCTCAATTCTTCCATTGGGAACCATCAACTTATTACACAAATTAAAATAGCTAAGTACTCTAAAGAAAATCAAACTCATTTTTGACAAATGGACATTTTCTCCATGTCTAGAACTAGGTGAATCACCTTATCTACAAAAGCACTTCAACATTGCACAAATATTTCACTCAAAACCTTATCTAAAGTTTACAAGTACAAAATAATAATTATTGGGATGTTTCATCTAGCATAAAAGATCAATAGTCAACTAGAAGAAATCATCTTCAATGACCACATGTATTCAAACTCAATGTCGGTTGCCCCCAATCAAAAAAGCAGATCATGTCATACCTTTAGAAACTAGTATTAGACTTATCAACATTTATCATCTCCACTACCCATATTTCTAGAAAGAAGAGATTGAGAAGTTAGCTTGGGAGATACTCACGTTAAAAATTATTTAACACTCAAATAGTTCTTGCTCCAGCCAAGCTATACTCATATAAAAGAAATATGGTAGGTGGCACTTTGGATTATTAAATGCGTTAGCAACCATCTAAGTCTCTAAGAAGTCTTCATTATCATAAGTTAATAATGAATAAATAATATAGTTTTAGCCTTAACTCATGATAAATAGACTTATATTTGTGTTAAATTTTGAAAAGTGATTTTTAGTTGATTAATGTGATTTTTTGGCTAATTATATGATTTTATGTGAATTTATATGATTTTTATAATCTTGTTTTTGAGATAAATGAAAAAGAAGAAAATAAAATAAAATAAATAGAAAAAGGGGGGGACCTGCCGGCTAGTCGAGCCCCCAAGTGAGTCGAAAGTACAGTCAGGGAAGAGCCGCGAGTAGAGGCTCAAGCGGGTATGGACCAATAAGAACACATGCACATCACTCTTCTTTCACGTTACCAATGGCCAGCCAATTGTGGGGCAAGGAGTGATCGTACATGTAGAAGAAAGAGACTCATTTACTTAGAAATGTGATATTACTATATATTCGCCCAAAACTTTGACGTACAACCGATGTGAGACTAAACCTGCATCACACCTTCTCTTAGAAAGACTTCGAAGATTTTAATACCTACACTATCCCTTATTTATAATAAAGATATATCATAATGACGCCACTTTATATGGGTATTAGAGTACTTATTTTAGTCTCTCTCTTGCAAGCGAGTAATTAGTGTGAGTTTGAATTCTCCTAAAGCTAAAATTCTTATTTTTATTTGATTAAATCGTGACTTTCCTACAAATCGTTGGTGAAAGATTAAACCATCAAAATCACTACATCAGTGACGAAAACCTCGTCAACACAATTCTCAAAGTATTATTACTAAAATTATTAAATGATTCATGATAAAAGGATCACAAATCCATCAAGTAAATTATCTCTGATTGATCGACAAATAAGCCGTCATTGGGAAAAAGACGATCCGTCGAAAGACAAGTCGTCACCTCCTGAGAGCGTACCAAATGCAATGAAGAGCCTCCTCTTACTACGCAAACTTGAGGATAAAGCTCTCTAACACGTACCCTACCTTAATTCAGCTCCTCTCTATCAAGTGACAATCATTGGAGAGCTGCAAAGTCGATGTTTTTCTATTCTGTCGGGTGACAATCGTTGGAGATAATTCGACGACCCATTCATTGATCTCTAAACTTTGCAAGAAGATTTAAAAATTATCCACATCATCCCTATCCAAGG